AGAAGGATGGAAGGGATCAAAGAGTTATGGTGGCGTTATAAGAAATTGTATGTACAATAAGTTAATAAAGTAAAGAAAAGGGAGATGATAACAAATGAACATGAGGCGACAGCGATACAGACACTTACGACGCAAATAATAATACTATCCATGTTATCTGTCCAGACAGATTTTTCTGGCATGAATACAATGTACATATATGCGTTTTGTCAGTTATATTATGTTGTGTAACTAAAACGAGAAGGCTGCATATGAAGATGTGAATTACAAAAAAAGAAAGTGCGCGTTAAAGATGATTTCAACAATTTGTACAGTTTATAACTCAAATCAACATCCATCTGAACGGTATTGCCGTCTGTTTTCAACTAATACATCACACATAATGCTATTAAGCATTAAACAGTATTCTGTTCAGAGTACACGTACTATAAGTCTGGACAGGATTGCAGACATATCGCATAACGTGCGTTAGAATTGTCATGCTTTTTTGTCTGCGATCCTGTTTATATTGTTACACGGTAGCTTGGAACCGAATGCAGTTCCATACGTTTATTTATATCTAGTGATTTTTAACATATAGTTGATTTCTAAATTCAATGTCGTTCTCCCATTTCGAGGTACATGTTCAGTTAATGGAACAACCAACAACCGGCATCGGTCAACTATCTTACAATTTAAGATTATGACGTCAAAACTGTAGTGACGTCACGATTATCACTGCAGAGTTATGATCTCATGACTCATGACATAAATATTTTTGGTGTTATTTTATAATCATTTCACATCGATTCTGTGACAAAACATACCGGTTTGAAATAATCGTTGTCGTGTTTACCACATACCACGTGCCACGCTAATAAAACCGTAAACATGTTCATGACTAGGTCATACTAGCTCTTTTAGAACTCATTAAACAACACCTTACGTAATACAAGTCGTGACATTTACAGAACAATGTAATTTATGTCTTTTCTATCAAGGTTTGTAATTGCTTCTATCGAATATCTAGCGTCCTGTTTATCTTTTTTTGATGTTGCTATAAGAACTTTGAAAATAACATGTTGTTACTATACAGCTATACTTCAGCAATTCAAGTGTTGTGCGATACACTTTCATTCGCCCAATGGTATTTATTGTGTATCTAATTAAGTTGTGTGTCATGGTGAATGCTTTGCGAAAGAAAACTAAATCGACATATTTTGTCTGTTTGTTAAGTGAACACGATATATCTTTGTTTATTTATGAAGAAAACGTATATATATACGGATATCATGTGAAATGTTTTTATATATATCGCGTTTATATATATATAATTCTACGTCACATTGTTCTCTGCCAAACGCAGTCCTTTTATTTAGATGATTTTGATATGCTCCATCTGTTGTTTTTTTAATAAATACAGCATAACGGTATGACCAATAAAACTACGAACAACTGTTATTTCGGTGAATTTGTGGTTATATAGACTTAAAAAATTAAGGACCTCGACTTTTTCTCTGTGAAAATATCCTTTTTATGTCCATATAATCACATATTACCTAAACAAAAGTCAAACACTGTATATGTGAATCAAATCAATACAGGTTCATTAGTATACATACCTGTATACCTGTTCCCATCCCACTCGTAATGTCTTAAGTGTTGCTTGAAAAAGGAGTACATTATATGTAGTATGCCTGAAAAACGAAGGGTAGATAGATATGTAGCTGAAGTGATACCGACCAAACATCTGTCATTCCGGGCTTTACGTTCTTGTCCAGTCGGATTTAAGAGGCAAACAGTCGTGAAATTTTACAACATACTCTCCAGACTAATAAATTCTATGCATGACAAATATCGAACTTGTTAGAAGCACACACAATGGTGATAGACATTTAAGAGCAGACAAAATGAAGGAGTGATGTTTACATCGTTCGAAGATGCCATTAAACATACCGGGTTGAACGTGCTTAATATGTGAAATACATACACTACATCTGTATACCTTTAGTAAACTGATAAATATATGCTCTTACGTATACTACGAGAAGCTTGCGAATTATTGTTCTCACAAATATGCACGAAAACAACAAATAGATAAAGGATGAATATGTATCTTTGAATTAAATTATGTGTTTACAAATCACATTAGGTAATTTTATGTTATATAGGACACTTAGGCGTTATTCTATAACAGGTTAATCAATTATGTCCACATCATGTTACAGAAACTGAGGAGAGGAATGCACATAGAGGTGTACTCCTGCGGATGAAATTGCTGTAATGTACATGTTACACACCTTTAGTTTTATTCAAACTGTTTTTGATCGTTTGATACAATTAATTTATAGCCTTATTCTATTTAATGACGCGATTTAGCGTTATGTTGGCTCGAGTCAAAACAGGCGATAATAATTACAGTAACCAAACATTCTAAATTAAGTACATTTCGTAATATTAGATCTATGGTCGGTTATTGGCAAGGTTATTCAGTCTCAATTAAATACATCTTACATTGATTTCATCAGTTACATTAAAAAGAGATTTATTTGTATTTTTGTTGATATCTTTCTTGAATATCATTCCTCGTTAATGTACTATTTGAATTTTAAGAACCACAAGAAAGTTAAGATTTGTAAATATGATATTATGTTGTCTCACAATCTTGAACTATCTCTTTATCTAAAACAAATGAGCATGCATACGCTCATTCAATGCAATAAAAGTGAATGAAATGCAGTCACTAACTCGAAATCGGTGATAACTAGTAATCATCATTATTGGAACAGACGTCGGATTATAATAATGCATGCAACTATTGACCCTATCACAGAGGCATAAAATCCTCGGATGGTAATAAGATCCTGTAAGATAAATGATGGAATATTGCAAAATCTGTTTTTATTTTCACTAATTAATCCTCTCCATGTGCTCCAAGCTGTTCACCATCCTAAATCTATTCCGTTGTATTTAATCTAAGGTACACCGGTAAAACTATCAAGAAACGACCGAAGTACATTGTAAAACTCGTTTACGTTGCGATATAAAGTTAAAACCTTAGTACTTTTTTCTCTAAATTAGTCTCAAAGATAAAATCAAGGATCTAATTTATCCAACGAGCACAAAACAGTTACCCCAAAATATTTAAAGTAAACAATACTATAGGTGTGATTACTCAAAATCGTTATATCCACAGTACTTCACTAATACAGGCCAGGTGAATACGACATAGCTTCGGCCGAGTGAATCGATCACACAGAAATACATTGGCACGGTACGATTGTGTAACTCTACTTTATACTGGTTAATGACCGTTGACCAGGTTATGTATACGGCGATATGTCCACAACCGCAAATTGACACAAGTCATTCCATATTGTACGTCAGAGTGGTCCTCTAATTAACCAGCATACTGTGGCTGTGTAGTAGCCATGCTAATTAGACATAGTAGATGGTACTTAAATCCTAAGGCTTACAAGCGGTTGCCCTTTAATGAACTGTATGTGATGTTTCCTGTTTAATGTGGCTTCCCAAGAGAATGATCCAGCAGCCCTCCTGGTCACGTTGACAAATACGGATAAAGAATCCGCTAAGACTTATCGCCCTCTAATAAATTGAAAGCGCGTGTATTTGAATGTTTTACTTAAGATGAGTTTTTGTGTTTCGAGAAACCACTAACCTTATTACATTGTGCCCTTATAAAATATAAGTTAAACTGAAAGGTTAAGTCTTCCTTTCCCATCTGATACGGATAATTGAGAAAGTACGACGAAAGACTTCGGTGCTTTGCCTCTTTCGCGTTTTTCATTTCAAAAAATGGAATAGAAATGCAAGATGCTGTATGAATAGAGTTAGACTATGAAACATTTGGAATGTCAATGCATTTGTACATGTCACATCAAAACCAAAATGCTCACTCATTTTTCATAACCAAAAGATCAATTAAAAGAAGAGCAGTCGAAATTTGGTGTAAATTGCAACAAACACTATATACGCGCAATTATAAATAGGCATTTACACATCAGGAAAAAAGGTCTGCTATAACTTTTTTAAGGTAATATTGACACAGGTCTTTAATGGCATGTGTAGCATGACATAAACGCCAGGCATAACCATAAATGATCATTGTCCAGCCATAAATGTTTGCATGATTTTTTTAAAATACCATATATAGATTTTTTGTTTATTTTAAAATATCATAACGTGTGTGTCGGACTTGCCAATTATTTATTCATTATGGACACCCTGGAGGTTTTACACACACATGAATAAACATAAACGCATTGACTTTTTTTTTCTTCAATAAAGTAAGATCATTGCTAAAACATGTACACTTTCATGAAATATATTTTTATTTAATGACACTTTTATAAATGCTGTTCCGCTCTGGACTTAACGATATAGCTTAGAATCTAAGTAGTGTATTCCAACATTCTGCATGCCGAACTTAAAGAAAATTTCAAGGAAATTTCAAATATATCAGTCCTTTTGTCTCATACTGAAAAGAGCAGATACCAAATTATTCTTGTGATTATGTTTTATGTTTTTTTTTTTTATTATGGGGTAGATTATTTAAAAGACTACCAATGTTACAAATTAGAATTAGTACAAAGTGGTGCACTACTTCTCAACAATCTATTGCCCTGTGTTGTAATGAGCTTGATTTTATTTGTGGTTTATCAAAGTAAGGTCCTTTTATTCCACAATGAGATACATTGATGATAACTTGACATAAAATATGAGTAATCGTTTCCGTCACAATTATTGCTATTAGTTACGTTATGATGATATGTTGGTTATCGCCTTTAGAAACATTTCCATATCAATAGTATCAAAACCTTTTTCCAGTTATCCACGACTAACATAACCACACATGTAATCCTCTCGCCCCAGCCATGATTAGTTTATCTCTCTTTGTTTCCCATACAGGCTATACATTTGAACAACTTTATGAATGTTCTTTCTAATGTTCCAGCTAGCTCATCAGAGACCGTAGCTGCTGAGACCGACTCGTATCGCCGCACCACCAACGCACCTGCTGGTTATAGCGTAATTGGGGCGTGCTTTGCTTTCTCTGCCTAGCTTCGACTTCCAGCTCCCGCAGTGTGACATTGGATGCTATCAGAGGCGGCAGGTCCTAAGTCTCAGCATTCTCAACACTCTCAAGTAAGTTCAGCCTCTGTGACTGTCTTCAACTGGTCAGGAAACCTACGGCTGTAGCTATTTACGACAATTAACCTATGGACTATGTAACATGCGTGTGACCGATACACTGATACACTTGTGGACTTCCGACTCACAGGCTCACGACAGATAGGGCCACGCACAGGTGAGAAATACTTATCTGTTAATATACGAGCTAAAAGTTGGAAAAGTATGATCGATTTTTATGTCACAATATTTTTTCACATTTTTTCTTAATTTTGACGTGTCTGATATAAACCCCTACCATGCTCCCTGCTACAATGCTGTAATCTACCTTGCACATCTTTATTAGAAAATTCTGAATGATCAAAAGTGAAAACAAATATCATATTATAGATCATTGTCTCTATACAGTCAAGCACCAAAGGAAATTTTCATTTAGTATGCCGTTTCTGTATTCATGATAATAGATTGTGTGTTTTATCAGCTCTGGAAATATTATGCACCATAACCGACCAGATTGTGCATATGTTGATAAATGTGTCAACAGTATGCATATACTTTCGAATGTTATAGTATAGTATGTATAGAAATATATACAAAATAGTTAAAAAGACTATAAACTCTACACAGCTGTCAGGTTGTATAATTGATCGCAAAGGTTTTTCAGTATCTAAAAACAATGCATAACAACTTAAATCAAAAGGAAAATGCTTGTCTCATGTTTCTTGCAGTACTGAATTCATGTGTCATGAACATTACTGTACACAATACATGTCTCATGCATTTTACAGTAATGTAAACAATTTTAATGAACAATACAGTACTGAAAACATGTCTCATAAAAACAACTTTTTTGTTCTTCAATATTACAGTTCTGAAAGCATGTCATCATTTTTTCTTAAAGCTACCTGAATTACTTTCCCAACAAACTCTTTTTGTTTTCTTAAAGGTAATCCATACCTTTTTGTCTGGGCTTATCGCAGCCTTAAGAGCATTTCTACGTAAATAACCATTCTTAGAGCTGATTAGGCTCATGTACGGTTTGATCCATATAAAGACATTTCTTGATGAACCGCCTGTTCTGCGATTTTATTGAAAGGCAAACGACGGTATCTCCGTTCATGCATATATTGAAACATTGTAAGTAATAGCGTTGTGGGCATGTTAAAAATTATCCTTCTTAATTGCGTTCATCCACAAACACAAACAGTGTTCAACAATCGAGATGGAGCTCGATCTCATGGTTGAGTAGGCACCATGATGTACTTTCAAGCGTGCTAAATGTATCACGCCTTCTTTGGAATGTTTTGAAGTTAAACAAACTGGTCTGCCATTGAAAAGGTAGCATGTATACAAAGGTAAAAAACAGATGCCTGATACCAGGAGAATGATAATTTTATTCATTGTTGATAATTGCAATTTGTCATATTCTTAATTTAGATCTCCAATTATGATTGGAAAGCTATATTATTCTTCCAACTGATTTGATAACCTGCCACGCGTTAATGGAACATGTATACAGAATTGTATAGACCATAAACTGATGTCAATAGAACATGACCAAAGGTTTAATAAAGACAACTGAGTTTATAGAACAGTTCATAAGTTGTTTAGAACTTGAAGTTTTGTTTAAAGAACATAAATCGAGCATTATAGAATATGAGTGCGGATTAATAGAACATATGTTGAGGTTTGATCAAGGGAACTGAGGTAATAATACATGCATTATGTTATAAAGACTTGATCTTGTATTTATAGAACATAAACTGTGGTTTACAGGGAATTGGAGGTTATTAGAGCATGCATTGAGTTATATAAATCTTGATTAATCGCTTATAATGCATACAATTAGATTAATAGAGGATATATTGGGTTATATAGAACTTTTGTTTGTAGAACACAAACTGAGGTTTATAGAATGTGAGCAAGGGTTTAATAAAGGAAACGGAAGTTAATAGAACATGCAATTGGTTATATGAAACTTGAATCATTGTTTATAAACCATAAACCGAGGTTTATAGAATATGAGCATAGATTTATGATAGGGATATGAGATTGATATAATATGAATTGGGTTGTATAGAACTTGAAATATTGTTTATAGAACATAAACTGAGGTTTACAGTACATGAACTGACGATAAACGCACACCAACTGGCATGTAAATGACTGGAAACCTTGGGTTTATAGAACATAAACGGGGGTTTACGGTTGTTGTTTCTATGTCATGTTGATTTCGCTAATTTGATCATTTAACACGTCGAATACATGAGACCAACTTTTGATGTTTGTGTGTTCAAGCCAATCAGATAATCCAATGTACCTTAAGGAATAGCGCTGGCGGTTTGGGCTATAGAAAGCCGACAACATTATTAGTACTGGCTTGGTTTGTATTTATTTTGCTGTATCACGATAAGGTTGTTTAACTCTCTGATGAAAGAAAGAAAACTGGATGGGTCAGGCATGGTCTAAACGAACGTCAAGCTTGGGAGAAAATGAACAAGACAAGGTAAACTGATCTGAAACACTCACCTGCTAATGTGTTGAGTGTAATGCTGGTATCGTTACACTCACCTGTTAATGTGTTGAGTGTAATGCTGGTATCGTTACACTCACCTGTTAATGTGTTTAGTGTAATGCTGGTATCGTTACACTCACCTGCAAATGTGTTTAGTGTAATGCTGGTATCTTTTGTACGTTGATAGTAGCATTTATATCGGCATCAAGTCTATAGAAAGCTTTACCTACTTTATTTTTTTGATTGTTGCATAATTTTAAGGGCAATTACAGTCCTAGATGATCATCGATTTTGTTCTTATATCATATTAACAGCTTATATTTATCCATAACTATGTCGTCACAATGCTGAAGTGTCTGTTAGTTACCGACGTTGCCGTAAGCTTTCCAACTTGATCCTGTTTGACTGAAAGCTGCTTCTGTTGAGATGAAAGCGTCTGTCCTGGAGAATGCTCTTGTCGTGGTGCCGATTGATGCTCTCTAGGGCGTGTTTGACTGTCGTAATCAAGGCTTGTATAGTTTTTACGTCTAGGATTATGAAAGGAAAGCGTATACGTAATATGTTAATAGATTTAAATTAATTATATGGTTGATAATCAATTATATCGTTCATTTCTGGATTGGGTATTAACATGTTCTTCGTTCATGCATACGTCTGTTGTATATAACTGCAGACATTACTATTGCGACTTTCTCCGTGTTTATATTGTTCAGATAAATGAAAAGAAACGAAACGAAATAGTTCAATGATTCAATATTTAAATGAAGTTAAACAAACGAAAAACAAGAAAGAAAAAGAAAACAAAAACTCTTTTATAATCAGCAATGCATCTGGTTTCTTTATGAAGCCAGAATATCTAGTGCTGTGCATCTCTTTTATATGGCGATGCCGTGTTCTGTTTGAGTGTAATTCGTTCTTTCATTCCTGTACAGATAATGTGAACATTCCTATAATAGTAGTTACTCATTGTGTAAGACTTTGATGTTTCTCTGGATCGTCTCCTTTACTATCTGTTCCCTCCTACCTCTTGTACGTAGGCGGGACACCTTTATGATGTTATTTTCTCACAAACTCATACCGACATGTTTCTTCTAAATCATGATTATGAAAAGCATAAAATCAAATCATTTGAGATCAACACTCAATGTTTACAAAATTCCCTGCTAAGATTTGGGCGAGAGTAAATCATTATGCAGGAATGGGGATATATCGGGTGGGTCATGTCTGGACAAGCTTCGTTAATGACCCACATTTTACATATTCTTAAATCAAATTAATATTAATGAATTTCTGATTCCTTGGATCAAACTGACGACCTGGCAACACATACAGTTTTCTCAGTGACAGATAAAGGGACTTTAATATGTTCGATAATTTAAAACAAAGCTGGTGTCATGCTAGTTGTAATACTCCAGTCTCCACTTAAAAATCAATTAACATTTTATAACCTGATATAATAAAAACAGAAAATCATTCTAAATTGTAGTACAGGCATGTTTCGCAAAAATAGCATGCTGAAACTTATCAACGTTTATTAGGTGTTAGCGAACGTTAATACGTTGTGTAATGTCCATTATACATATAAAACAAGTATAAAAATCAAACGAAGCCTGTAAATCCAACAGCGAAGTTTGATGTACTATTATATGTTAAGATCCGACAATCTTTCAACGTCAAACATGCGACGACAGAGGCATGAAATGGACATTATGACGCACCAACGACAATCCCTCACGGTCCGCAGTCAAATTCCAAGCCAAGTGGAAACTTACTGGCAAACATGAAAAGACAAGGATTTTTAAACCTTTCTGGGAGGGTTAATAATAAGCATACGCCAAACAGGGACCGTTTTTCTTTGTAGAACTGATGGGATATATTGGAGGTTACAGAGCGTTATCATTTTCCGATGATGTTTAATTGGACATTATGCATAACACGAAAAGTTCGCTTGTTTCCCTCTAAATATCTTGAATGAAATGTGCTCATCTTTAAAGACGAATCGGGTAATTACTGTCATGCATGTTTTAAACCAATACTGCCAAATACGGTACAACACCTATTAGCAATTGTTACAATAGTACAAGTTTTCTTTATGAAGTTTTCATGCAAATCAGTTCTATTGTCTGGAGATATTCATCGATAAGAATAAATACAATATCAAGATTGCAAAATACAAAACAAATTTCTATCAATTCAGAGTAAATTGTCAATCGTTCGATGGTCTTGTTTATCTGCATTGAAAAAAAAAATCCTCTTCCAATTTTCTATCTCTCATTCCTCCTCTTAGCAGGTTAGTGTACACTTCAGTTGAAATTGACGATGTGGTTGGACTCTTTCTTTTATTAACATTATTTTTAGATTGATTCATTGAATATCTGAGCTGGACTTCAGGTTTGTCATTCGTTTTAAGTAGAAACACGCTGCATCTCATGTCAAATAATGTACTACTGTAAGCCTAACGACAGGAACCACATCAGGTGTCCTGCTTCCGCCGAAATACCGTACTGTTCTAGGCTTCACCACCAACCACATCAGGTGTCCTGGTTTCGCTGATAATATGTTAAGCCATAATGTTCTAGGCTTAATGACTCGAACCACATGAGGTGTCCTGCTTCCACCAAGATGCCTTCATGTTCTAGGCTTCACTACTGGAACCTCATGAG